AGGGTTCATATGAAGTTAGCAAGACTCAATCTCTCCATTTTTGGCTCAGCTGTTCTTTATGTTGGCTCCATTCGGGCAGGTTCTTCCTACTTGAGAGCAACCAACTCCATACTTACACAGCTTAACAACCCTTCCCACCCCTCTACAGAAGGAGAGAGCTCTCTTTTCAACCATTTCAAGTAACTCCCAGGATCTCAATTGCCTGTCTTAGGTCACATCCCTAACCAGTGTGGTCCAGGGAATGGTATATGCTGACTGGCCAAACCTGGATCATACGCCAGTCATTGGAGGCAGGGGTTGGTGTCAACACCACCACAGAGAAATTAGAGTAACACTCCACAGGAAAATCAGGGTATTGTTACTAAAAAGAGGGGACAGATACTACACACACAAAAGCAGATTTCACTGCATGTACAATCATCACAGAACTCAGAATACATTTTCTGACAAAAACAATGCAAATAGGAGATCGTGGCCAGGTTCCCAAACAGTACCATGAGCCCATTTAGGACCTAATGAAGGGAAACTCAGGCAGTGACAGTAATAGCCTTAGTTCCAGGAGGATGCCCTATTCTATAAAAGGGAGAAATTTCCTTTCCTTGTCAAAGTTTCCTATAGACTCAGCAAGTGGCAAAATTTCAAAAGTTTGTCTATCAGCATCCTCCTACATCCCCTTCTGTACCTCCCTGTTACATATCACGGAGCCTCTACAGTGACACTGGATCCCATACTCTTACTTCATGTACACCCTCTACTCTCGGTGTATTTCATTCTCCAAAATTTTTCTCTCCTGCCACCATATCCCCTCATTCTCTCAATATAACTGATTTCAGCTGAACAGAAAGAAACACCAATTAGTATGAATAATTAATAATTTGTTTACTAACCTTAATAATTATCTAATTGGTGGGTTTTAAACAGTATTACAAAAGAAGCAAAAAAGACCTCTTATAGATTGATCAATCCTTCCTGAAGCTGACCTCTCTGGATCCACAACCCTTCCTCCACCAGCACCCCCCAAAACCCCTTCAAAACACATATTCTCTAGAACCTCCATTTATCCCCCTACTACATGCTTCTAACAGTATTGGTTTTATGGAATAGATGGTCATCTGTAAATCAAAGACTGCCTGTATAATAGACAGGATCCATCTGATTGAAATGTTAAATACATGTGTGACACGTAAATAAAACTCAGCCCTTTGCTTGACTGAACCACTGCACTTCTCAACTCACAACCATTTATCTGGAATTAGATCTCAAAACCTCACTTTATAATTGTATCCAAGTTATGTTCAGAGGTGATCTCTGGCATTTGCAGCCATCATTCAAGGTGCTATTAACAAATAGTAAATATCTGTGTTCAGCATTCGTTCCAAACCCTTGATGTGTCTGAAACACAAAGACAGCAATATAAATGGACTTTTCTGCTTGCAGGTGGTGAAAGCTTTCATTGTCTTGTCTGCACCCTTTAAATCCTTCAATCCAGAAAAATTAACTCTTGAGCTTCAGGATCATGTGAAAAAATCAACTGCACCTTACAAATATCCAAGAAAGGCAAGTACATTGCCCAAAAGTTAAGTTTGTGTTACCAAACTAGGGTCTAAGCCAGTATATAGGTTTTATTGGATTTTGACTTTAAAGTAGCTCATTACATAGGTAAAAAACACTTTATCATTTTGCCCTAAGAATTTTGTGCTTTAAAACGTTATTAGGATACTACAAATGCTTGATAAATTAGAACTTTTTATCAACTCTGCAATACTAAGTAACTACTAAGAATCTTTATAGGGCTAATTAGTCCCATTCCATTTTGGGGAGAAAATGGTGGCAAAGAATTGCCAAGTGCCTTGTTTTTAGGGATGGCAGCTGATTTGTCTATCTTTGTACGCTCGGCCATAATACCACTATAAATTCAAAGCCTGTATCAAGTGACCTCATTTAAGGGTTAAGAAAAAGACAGAACCCAACTGTGGAAACTTTCCTGAAACCTTCTTCAGATAACTTAAGACCTCTGTATGCACACAGAGATGGAACTGTTTCTTTCTAGACCTGGAATCCTACTGGTTACAGTGACTGAGCACTACACAAGAATTCCATTTCAGTTGACATCATTTCAGCCAAAAGGTAGTTAATTTCAACCTAAGAACTACTCACATTTTCTCCACTAAATTCACTGCATCAGTGAACCTTTGAATTTCTTTTTTTTTTTTTTTTCCTTTTTTTGTCTTTTTTTTTTTACTGACCGGTAACGGGATCGCAACCCTCGGTGTTGCACCCGCACCGCGCTCAGCCAGTGAGCGGGAACCGGTCTCCACATGGGATCCGAACCCTCGGCGGGAGCGCCGCCGGCCCAACCTTTGAATTTCAAAAATGTTGAGGGCATTTTAAAATACAGTAGTCATATATATGTATACACACACACACACACACACACACATATTTATGGTACAGAGTTATCAGTATCTGTGTATCTTGAGAAGGGGGAACAAAGAGAATTTTATGTTCAAGTCAGGGCATAAAGGGAAAATTGAATATACTCCAAATTATACCCC